GTAATACCATTGTCTTTTATAAAAATGTTTCACGCCATTATTTTTATAAACAATACCAATGTTTCCCTCATATATGAAGATTATTATTATATTAATAATAATGATTATTATTAATATATTAATAATTTTACAATAACAACAATATTTTTTATAACAATGCTTTATAATAATATCAATCTTTTTTAAAAATGTTGCACCATTATTTTTATAAATAATACAGTTAATAATATAGTTAAATAATATAGTATGAATTCTTTCTATCTATGGATATTTATTCTATTTATGGATTTCTTCCGATTATTTATTCTAAACCTCACATACATCAAATTTATATGAAGATTATTATTATATTTTATATTATGTATGAAGGGATTATCGTTCTATCTATGGATATTTATTCTATTTATGGATTCTTTATTATTATGGATTTCTTCCGATTAATTTATTCTCTTTCTCTTATTACTAATACATCAATTTTAAAAATATGTGCTTTATTTCAATAATAAGTAACATTAGTTACCTACTTGTAACATATTTTTTTGTAATAGATGAAACCCTATTTAGGATGATGACATTTGTCCAGCTTCAGTAATGATTGTAATATATTTTATTTGATTAAGTTTCTATTCGAAAAATAAAATGTTATAAAGACTTAAGTTAGAATTCAGAAAATTCGAAGAGAATGATAATCAACGTTTCAATATTCCCATATCTCAGCAGTAAAACATTAATATTGTTAATAAAAACATTGGTGAGAAACGTTTTTGTAAGAAACCGGCGGCATTATTATAAACAACTGTTATAAAATGCATTGATATTATTATAAAACATTGTTATAAAATATATTGGTACTATTATATAACATTGTTGTAAAATATATAAGAATTATTATAAAACATTGCTATAAAATATATTGGTATTACTGTAAAACGTTTTATGTAATAGATATAACCTTATTTAGGATGGTAGCATTTTTTCAACTTCTGTAATTTTTGTAATATATTTTATTTGATTAAATTCCTATTTGAAAATGAAATGTTACGAAAACAGAAAATTGGAATTCATGAAATATCGAAGAGAATGATAATTAATTAGTCTCAATCTTCATATATCTAAACAGTAAAACATTGGCATTGTTTATAAAAACATTGATGTGAGACATTTTTGTAAAAGACGATGGTATTATTATAAAAAATTGTTTTAAAATATATTGGTATTATTATAAAACATTTTTTTATTATAGTTGATATATTGCTTTATTAAAATTTTTATTTAGTTAAGAGGGAATTCATTGAATTCATTTCTCGTTTTTAGCCTCACACTTGATAAAGAAACGTAATGGATTACCTACTAGTTACCACATATTTTTTGTAATAGATGTAACTATAATGATGATATTTGTCTAGCTTCAGTAATTATTGTAATATATTTCATTTGATTAAGTTCCTATTTGAAATTAAAATGTTATAAAGACTTAACATTGGAATTTAGGAAAATTCGAAGAAAATGATAAACAATCAGTCTCAATCTTCATATATCTAAGAATAAAACATTGGCATTGTTTATAAAAACATTGGTGTAAAACCTTTTTTGTAAAAGACGATGTCATTATTATAAAACATTATTATAAAATATATTGGTATTATTATAAAACTTTGTTTTTTAATTATAGTTTATACTTTGCTTTATTTAAATTTTTATTTAGTTACGAGAGAATTCATTGAATTTTTTTCTCGTTTTTAGTCCCACACTTGATAATAAAACGTAATGGATTACCTACTAGTTACCTACTTATTACATACTTTTTTGTAATAGATGTAATTATAATGTTGACATTTGTCTAGCTTCAATAATCATTGTAATATATTTTATTTGATTAAATTCCTATTGGAAAATAAAAGTGTCATAAAGACTTAATAGTTCGAATTAAGGAAAATTTGAAGAAAATCATAATAGGTGTTTTAATCTTCATATTTCTAAACAGTAAAACATTGGTATTGTTTATAAAAACATTGGCGTGAAACTTTTTTATAAAAGACAATGGCATTGTTATAAAATACGTTGGTAATGTTTATAAAAACATTGGTGTGAAACATTTTCGTAAAAGATAATTGTATTACTATAAAACATTGTTTTTTATTATAATTGATCTATTGCTTTATTTAAATTTTTATTTAAAGAAAGAATTAATTGTTTTTTTTTCTCGTCCTTTTGTCTCGCACTTGATAAAAAACGTAATGCATTTAGAAGAAAAAAAGCGACTTATAATTTTAACAACTTATAATTTTAAGATACAAGAAATATTAAGTACAAGCACCAATGTTTACAGTTTGTTCCATCAATGTATTCAATTTTGTAGGTTAGACAACAATTGCTCAAATTCTACAACCACTTGTATTGTGTCCTCTTTAAGTCCATCTTCAATACCTGCAAAAGGCATGACAAGAGGCAGTAGCGCTTCTCTTCCGTCTTGCTTTGAAATTATTAACGATTTCTTAAACGCCGCCCATAAATCTCTTGCCCAGAGAAATAGTAGCAATGAACTTGCAACGACCGCAGTATTTCTCTGAGGCGACTGCTCGCAGGATCACCACAATAGATCACTCGTCTCTGAGCAGGATCCTCTTTTCTTTTGTGATCCTGCTGATTTCCATTTTGCTGATTCCAATCACGAATGTCTTCCCCTTCGGACGACAGCGATTAACTGTGCTTGTGCGCAGGAGACATTGTTTTCTCGGGGGCTGTAAATCACTGGAATGACAGATGGTGGTCTCTGCGGCGCGATGTTACTTTTTTACTTTTCTTCTTTTTTGAGGGGGACAGGGGGGGATGGTTGAAGGTATTTTTGGTAAAAAGAGGATGTTGCGAGCTGGTTAAGGTTAAGATCGATGAGGTTGATTTAAATATTGTCTTCAGATTGAGGTCATTAAGTTAGTTTTTGATTGAGAATTTGATTGGTTTTGGATTGTTTGGGCTTATGATGAGAAATGATGTTAGGTAGTATGTGGTAAGATGGATTGGGATTAGGCATAAAATAAAGATAGTTAAATGATAAGTAATTGAAAAGTAATTCTAAATTAATTTCATAAGGAATTTTAGTAAAAAAGAATACTCTACGGTGTTTGGCATTGATGCAGTGCGATAGATAGTGATTTGACTTGAAAAGGAAGGTCACTAACTAAAAATACTCTATGGTTATCAAGCAATAAATAATGTGATGAGATAGATTCGGATTATGTTAAAATTTAAAGATAAGATATTTTTACTCTAATCTTATGCAGTATTTTGGTTTGTGTTTCTAACGTTTTTAAGATTTTTGCTTTGGTCTCTATTGGTTTAGCATAAATGATTAAAGTTAAGACATTTTCAATGTAAACTTTCGGTAAAAGAGGATGTTGCAAGCTGGTTAAGGTTAAGATCGATGAGGTTGATTTAAATATTGTCTTCAGATTGAGGTCGTTAAGTTGGTTTTTGATAGAGAATTTGAATGGTTTTGGGCTTATGATGAGAAATGATGTTAGGTAGTATGCGGTAAGATGGATTAGGATTTCACACAAAATAAAGATAATTAAATAATAAGTAATTAAATTTTTTCGTGTTTCTAAATTAATTTCATTGTGAGTTTTAGTGAAAAAAAAATTATCTACGGTATCTTGGCAATGGTGAGATATATAGGGATTTTACTTGAAAAGGAAGGTTACTAGTTGAGTATTTGACGGAAAAAAATATTCTATGGTTATAAAAAAACATATAATACGATGAGATTGATCAGAATTTTGGTAAAAATTAAAATTAAGAAATTTCCATAGTAAACTAATGTTTTTAGGATTTTTGTTGGTTGGTTTAGCATAGATGATTAAATTGAGATTTTAGTAATCCCATATGCGGTACTTTGGTTTTTTTGGTTTGTGTTTTAACATTTTTTGGGATTTTTGCATTGGTTTAACATAGATGATTAAAGTTAAGAGATTTTCATTGTAATCCTATGCAGTATTTTGGTTTGCACTTCTAACGTTTTTAGGATATCTTTACTTTGGTTTTTATTGGTTTAGCATAGATGATTAAATTAAGAGATTTTTATTGTAATCCTATGCAGCGTTTTGTTTTGTGTTTCTAATGTTTTTAGGATTTTTGGGTTGGTTTCAATTGGTTTAGCATAGATGATTAAAGTTGAGAGATTTTCATTGTAATCCTATGCAGCATTTTGGTTTATATTTCTAACGTTTTTAGGTTTTTGCAATAGTTTCAATTGGTTTAGCCTAGATGAGATTTTTATTGTAATCCTATGCAGTATTTTGGTTTGTGTTTTTAACGTTTTTAGGACTTTTGCATTGGTTTCATTGGTTTAGAATAGATGCAAAGTGCCAAATTGAAATTTGGTTCAAAATGTGGTTAATAATTTAAGGATATAAAATTTTCTATTATTATTATTATTATTATTTTTGTGACAAAGTTAATTTTATGTTGCTTATACAATGATGTGGTGAAGTTTAATTTATTTTTACTGAAAATGAAAATCATTATCTTATTCCTTTTGCTCATTATCCTGAATGATTTTACATTATTTTTTTTATCTTCGGTGAAAACGAATGTTTTAAATTGGTGATATAGATGTGAGGAGATTGCTTAAATTTTTGTTGAAGATTAAAATAAATAATTTTCACTATGGTCAGCGCTTTCATGATCCTATGCTGTTTTGCATTCTTACGTGTATTTCATGAAAAGTATTTATTTTTATTACAAGACAATCTACATATTATTTCTTAACACAAATCTATACTAATTTTTAGTCAGAAAAATTTTAGAATTTTTTATAGATTCCGTCATTTGTTATGTTTTTATTTAAAATCATATCTATTCACTTCTTCCTGATGCATGCAAGTTATCTAAGTTAATTTTTTATAATTTTGACAGTTAATCTTTAAATAGATGGATGCACACATAATGTACTTTTTAATACATTGTTTTTCACTATTTGGGCCATTATAAATATATTAGTCAACGGTCGTACCATGCTGAATATACCGGTTCTCGTTAGATCACCGAAGTTAAGCGCGGTCAGTACTTGGGTGGGTGACCACCTGGAAACACTGCGTGCCGTTGGCAAATTTGGGACCTGAATGGCCGAGTGTCTAGCGCTCTGGCGCTCGGAAAAAAGGTTTCGGGTTCGAATCCCGGCGGTGCCATGGATGTTTGTAGTGGTTCGGAATCCACTTTAAGCCGTAGGTCCCGGTCTCCTATGACTGTAAGAGCGTCACGGAGCAAAAGTCAGGCTTCTACCTACGGGTGCTCCATCACAACAGAAGCTGCTTCCTTCCCCTTCAATCATGAGCCGTATGGGCTTGGCCAGCCAAGTGGGATAAGAAACAACAACAACAACAACAACAACAATAAATATATTTGTAAAAGTGTGATAAATCTCCGGGGCCGAAAAAATGTTGAAGGCAGGCCGCGAGTTGACCACCCCTGGTTAAGGGAATTTTTGAGAATTTAAAATTTTTAAATCATACGAAATAAAAAAAGTAAGAAGAAAATAATTAATTAAAAATTAAATAATTAAAAATGTTAATTAAAAATGAAATATGAAAATAGTTAATTTTGTTGTGAAGTTATGGAATACATCCATTCACTTCCTGATACATTCATCTAATCACAATCCTGATTGTTTTCTTTCAGGAAGAAGCTAATACTTTAGGGAGACAAAGATTTGACATAACAGATTGAAATTTTTTGAAAATAGAAATCAATAATTTTGACAAAAATTCGATTAAGAGTTTATTGAATTAGAGTTTATTTGAATTAAGAGTTTATTTCTTTGGTACTATTCCAGTTCAGCTTTAACTCATGATTTTAATAGAAAAACACGTTTTCTGAGTGTAAGAAAGGATGCTTTGCGGCAGTATTACTCAATTAAGCAGAACCACCAATTAAAAAAAATCCTTCGGTCTTCTTTTTCATACAGGAATAATTTTACTTCAAATACGCTTACTAAGCATGACATATTCTAGAACATAGATCTTTATTTAAAATATTATAATACATCTTTTAAATAATTAACAAGAATGACATTTTTGTGAGTTTGCATTATTTTTTCTTTACTAAATGTAATGATTTTGCATAATGATTTCAAAACTTTTGATTATTTACATGTGGAATAGTTTCATAATATACCAAATAATACAGAAATAGAAGCAAAAATGCATTTTGGAATATTATTTCTAAATAAAGTTCGTTTTGAAAAAGGTTTTCGATTAAATGTTATCTTTTAGTTTTATGACAGAAATAATTTTGATCCTAATTTAAAACGAAAAAGCATTAATTTAAAGGAAAACTATAATAATTTTATTGAAAATTCTAAGGGAATTCAATATTATTGTGGGGAAAAGTGATTTTGAGTCTATCATTGAGAAATACTCACCTCTTCAATACCTTTCTAATGATGTATTATTTTTGAAAAAACTCCCGTTAAAAGTTGTATTTAAATTTAAAACTAAATTTAAAGAATGGAAACAATCAGATATTTTGCGGATCACATACACTATTTCAAATTATTTTTTAAGCATTACGTGAAAATAATTCTAGGGAGAAATTTATAAATATCAGAAAATTCTATTATGCAATTTATGGATGTCTTGCGGCCCATTTTAGATAACTTCTATTACAAAGATCTGCTTAGGAAGTATTTAACATAGTGACATCCATAATCCAAATAAGAATGTTATGAATGTAATGACTTGTAATAATGTAATAATTCCACATGCAATAATAAATATAATGTGACACATAAATGTAATAATTCCACATGTAATAATAAATATAATGTAACAAGTAAATGTAATAATTCCACATGTAATAATAAATATAATGTAACGCGTAAATGTAATAATTCCACGTGTAATAATAAATATAATGTAACACACAAATGTAATAATTCCACAACTTAGAAACGAATCTAATGAAAATAAATGTTCTCTAATCTGTAATAGACGATTTGTTAAATATTTTTAATGTAGAAATAAAATCGTAAAATCACAAATTTTAATAAAATTTTTTGCATAGAGACAATCTTTTCTCCCAAATACTTCGACAAAGGGGCCTGAATGGCCGAGTGGATAGAGCTCTGGCGCTTGGTACCACAGGTATCAGGCTCGAGTCCCGGCGGTGCCATGGATGAATGTTCGGAATCCACTTTAAACCATAGCTCCCGATCCTAATAGGATCGTAGAGCGTTTCGGGGGCATTGTTACTTCGCGTCCGTGGCTTATCTTCAAGTGACACGCGCCCCATCGGTAATGCGAAGTGAGTAACGTCTGTGCAGCGCTTGCCTTAAGGCATCCAAGACCAAGCTGTCTAAGTGTTTGCCAGCTGCATTAGAACGAGAAAAACAATACTTCGATAAAGGCAATTTTTAGGCGCAAAATACAATTCTTTTTTTTCTTTTTTTTTTTGGAAATTAAAATTAAATAAAAAAGGGGCAAATATGTTAATAAAATATAAGGAATAAGACAGTGTATTTTAAAAAAATAAGAAAACTATCGCATGTAAATCAAGAACATTTCAATAATGTTACATTTTTGTCTTTCAATACAATTTCATCAAAACAGTGTTTTTCAAAATTATATGCACCTTTTCTACAAACCTATTGCATAAGTAGTTAGATTCTACTAAAATGAGCTTTTACTAATATTTGTGAAATTGTTTGTTTTATATAAAAAAAAAGCAATATTTAAAGATTTTTCAAATTCCACATGGTTAAAATTTTTTTTAATTTCTCAAAAACTAATTCTAATAGATATATATATTCCAATATAGAATATAATAATACTAAAAAAAACCCAAGACCTTATACTTTCTGAGAAAAAGTGCATCAAAATTGGCCATTTTAGCATTGTCTTTTCAGAAGATATTGAATCTTTGAAAAATGTATTTTTTTAAATAAGTATTAATGCACTAATAAGTAGTCTTTATAAATATTTAAATTAAAATTTCACCAAAACTAATTTCAATTTAATATAAAATGCATGCATGTATATTATAAAAAAACACACAAAGATTCTCAATATAATGCTTTCTAAGAAAACGTACATCGAAAATGATCATTTTAGCATTGTTTGTATTGAAGATGCTTTACCCCTGAAAAATGTATTTTTATAAATATTCATAATTAGTCGTTACAAGCATTTAAATTAAAATTTTTCCGAAACTAATTTCAATTTAATACAGAATGTATATATAGTATACAAAAAATGTCTAATAAGTCTAATAAATAAGTATATTTAAGTATAACACGAACTTAACTATTTTACAATTTAAAAAAAGTTGTTAGCGATGGAGCATATTTTTAAATATTAAAATAATTAATTTCAATTAAAAACCATTATTATTGGTTTTATTAATATTTGATCTATTCAATGGCCATTTACTTTCAACTGATTATGATAAGTATGCTCTTAAATGAAACTTATAAAAAAAAAATTAAAAAATAATGTCATTCATTAGTTTTAAATTTTTTTTTCCGATATCAATAAGATTATTTTAATTAATTAAACTCAACTAATTAAACTAATAGTAATATAATACTTGATAGACAGTCAAATTTTCCAGAAATAATTATTTTCCTTTTAAATAGTATTAGTTTATTATCAAAGGAAACTTATATGATTATAGCGTTCATAAATATGCTTTGATGTTTATGTTTACACTTATGTTGGATGGATATGTTTATATAAAATTGTGCGTTAATGACTTAAGTAGTGATTCATTAAAAAAAAAGTTGCGATTTAATATATTTTAAATAAAAAATATATTTCTTATGCATTATTTTTTTATGCCTTTCTTTTTATTGCTGAAAATGTATTTCCAGTAATTTTTTAAATTATTTCCGAGTCATCTCACATATTAACTGTGAGTACTCTTAAAATGAGATTAGCACCAGCAGAACAAATTAAAATTAATGATTGACAGGATAATTGGCAAAAAAGAAAAAGAATTTGCTCTTCGCAAAAAAAAGAATGAAATGATTTAACGAATTAAGTTTTAAAAAATTTTTTAAAGATTTAATTTTCCTTATAATTCGACTAAAACTGTAGAAATGTATTGTAAAGTTTCATAATAAATGAATACAATATTATGTACATAAAATTCACATGAATTGAAAACTCGAAACCATTTTTCTTTTAAATACATTGATACAAAACATTAAATTTTAATAATTTTTAGAGTTAAAAGTACAAGAAAATAATACTTGTCTTATAATCACAGAAAATAATTATATATTTTTAGAATACCATAAGAAAAATCCAATGTCGCTAGAATCCATTTTGCTTGCAAATACATTAAAAGAACAGGGACCTGAATGACCGAGTGGCTAGCGCTCTATAGAACAGGTTCCGAGTTCGAGTCCTGGCTTTGTCATGGATGTTTGTAGTGGTTCTTTAAATTGTAGGTCCCGGTCTAACAAGATCGTAGAGCGTTGCGGGGTATTGTTACTCCGCGTCCGTAGCTTATCTTCAAGTTACACGCACCCGCTGTGTAGTGCTAAGTGAGTAACGTCGGTGCAGCGCTTGCCTGAAGGCATCAAAGACAACTGCCTAAGTGTTTGCCAGCTGCATTAGAAAAAAAACCAATGAAAGAAGAATGCATCTAGTAATTAAGTATAAAAATGTTTTAATAATTCATATATGAACATAAAAGGGACCCACTAACCTGGATAATTACAGTTATACGTGAGTTATATCCATCGATCTCTTATTAAAATCATTATTAAAAATACCTTTCAATCAGATTTCAAGATTTATTTTGATAATTAAATTCTTAAGAATAAGGAATCACCAAAGAAAATTTTATTTTTAATTTGCGTATAACTTAATTTTTATGAAAATTTTAATTTATTTAAAACTTTATTTCTAAGTTTCATAATCAAAGTAGAAAAATCTAACATGAAATTTTAAAAAATTATTTTCTATGTGAAGAACTTTATTAGGAATCTTACATTTTAGCTTGATTGAACATCATTTAGCTTCATAACGTGTATTCAAACTTTATTTTGTTTGTTCTGATATAATAACTAATTTTACTGGATTAAAACTACTCCCAATTTATC